CACTCTTTCTAAGCCTCTATTAATGGAGTTGACTTGTTCCTGGATTAAACTTTCTTATCGAAATCTCGGATTAAGCTATCTTGGAGACAAAGACATAATGTGATGACGGATAATAATTACAAATTAAATAAACAATAATGTTCAATGAAGAGTATTTCTAATCGTGTTAAATTTATTTACCTTCTTTCAAAGTAAATTGCAAAATAAACCTGTAATTTCAAAATAAATCTTTTTTCATTGATAAATTGTAAAATGTAAAGTATTTAATATATAATATATAACGTTAGAAATTTAATTTTGTATAAAAAATTACATAATTTTATCTATCAGGTATACTTTGAGTGATGGTGAGATTTTCAGATATGGAGATGGTGAGATATCGGAAAAATTTTTATGAATACACAGGTCCATTTCCAATCGTATTTATTGCACCGCTTTTTGAGATAAGATTGGAACGCTTCAGGATTGAAATTGAGATTCTAGGAGTTATGCCTCATTCCAAACTATATATGTCCATTTTGTAAAGTATTCCAGGAATTTACCGAGATATATATATGTATACAAGTTTCATGAGATGAAGATTCCTCAGAGAAAGATATCCAATAGTTATTTCCCAGAAATTTCTAATAAAAATTCCTCCAATCGATTTGATACGATCGTTTTTAAAAAATCCTGAAGGTAATTTAAAAATTACATCGAAAAATATCGATGTCATAATTTTGCACTGACGTGCGAATGAAATCAAAGCCAATTAGACAGATTCACCTGAGTGTGCATGGTCTTACATATATACAAGGTGGTTTAAAGTGCATCGGTAAGCGCAACGTCCGGTCGGCGCGGCTGAAAAGGCCTCGTAAAATCAGACGCATCCGGAGAGAGATACGAGAAGTGAAAGTGCGTTTTACACAGGATGACGGAAACTCCGTTGCCGGGATAAGCGCAGCCGGCGTCAGTGCGTCGCAGCGACGAACGCCGTACGCACCCGGTATCATCGAGCGCCTCGGACAATGATCAAAAATATCAACGTGTGGACTTGATAGCCGCATTAATTCTCGCGAACCCGACCCGACCTGACCGCGCGCCGTAAAATTCGTCATCGGCTTCAATAATTTATGACAACACATGACGGATACGCGATGCGCGAGACGCGTTATGCTCCGGCTTTCTTCAAGGTTGCCGTTCAAGGTGCGCCGAGACGGAAGAGGGAGAGAGAAGTCGAATCCGCGAAATTGACGTCACTTCGTGGCTGATCTCATTGTTTTCCACGTGGATGCTACGAGGAAGATATGGAGACTATATTGAATTGTAATTACGAATTGGATAGTGTTGTGATTGAATCGCGTAATTAAGTCGGTGGTATGAGATGCACGACGGAATGAGAAGTTTTTGTAATTTATCTGATAAAAATTCACCGCAACATGGATGTTTTTAAATTGCTTTCCTCTTTGATAGTTTATCTAATAAAATATCGATATTATAAATATTGATATTAATTTTATTTATTATTTTAGTATTTGATAGAAATTTAAATTAAAAAAAATAAAATATAGGTTTTAAAAATTTTGAACAGTTACACTGCAATTTTTCAGTGAAAAACTTAGAGAAAAAAAATTTATTAGAAACGTGAGTACACACATACACTTTACAAAATATAGGTTTAATTTTATAGTTTAATATGTTAAAATAAATTATAAAATATTTTGTTAATATCGATTTTTTTTAAGATTATATCTTGATACTCTTTTATGTAGAATAATGAAGAGAATCGATTTATGTAGAAAAAATATGATTCTATAATAAAAAAAAACTTGGAGATGGCCTTGAAGTCTCGCAAACGCTTGGAACAGAATCGTGCTGACTACAGAAAATGTCCCTCTCAAAACTAATTACAAAAATAATCTTACAAGTTAAAAGTAATTTTATCTCTAAAACATTTATTTATTTTATAAAATATCCATCTTAAAATTTATGACGGGTGATAATTTTCAGTGACTCATCCTATATATTTTATTTTTATTTTACTTATTTATATTTATTATTTATCGTGTTTATTTTGTGAGATACATTTTTATAGGAAAATTATTTATATTGGTATACATTAAAATACAATAACATATTATTATTCTCTCTGAGTTTTGATTTTGTTTCAAAGTAATAATATATTCGAGCAAGAACGGCCACCAGTATGTTTCATATCCGTGCACAAGTCACCACTCGCTCGGCGTTGTTTTACTCTCGATAGTGTCCTATCGTTACCGTTACATTCATCCAAGCCGTGACGCGTCTTTTCGTCAGGCCCAACTCGTTATCTGCGTGTAAATAGAAAGATGTCGTGCCACCTCGTGTAGTGAAGAGATAAGTGTTTCCGGTCGTTAAAGCCTGACGACCGGGAAGCGGAACAGTTATTTTTTCCTTTTTTTTTTTTTTAGAAACGATACTCAAGTGCATTTTCGAGTCGAGCGAGAGAATTAATGATTCTTATTCTTATCCTCGAGCGATGTATCCTGAGGGATTTTATTTTCATTTCAGACTTGAACCTGTGGAACAAGAGCATCAGTCAGCGCTGGCGGAAACTGCGACGAAGATGCTCCGTGCAGGAGTCATCGGAGCCGCAGGAGGCGCTGATACAGGGTGGCGGGAATCATGGTGTTATACACGCGGTGAGGTCGACACCGGCTAGCAGAGAGGCCTCGCCGGCCGCGAAGAGTCTTCAGGATGGGAATTCGTCGAAGAAACTGTTACAGACTAGTTCTTTGAGGCTGCCAGGTAAATTTTAATCGACTTGAAAAAAAATGTAATTCAACTAGGTTGGTGCAATTTATTTCTATCTTCATTGAAATTAATTATTTATTTAAAATACAGAAGTTAAAGAATATTAAAATATTAAATATTAAAGTATTAAAATTATATATTATATATAATTATATATTAAAATAAAATTGAATACTGAAATACTTAAGAGATAAATGTACATTCTATATTACTTCAATATAAAGTCTACGTCTTATACTTCACGCGTATATACTTGATAACGAATACTTGCAGGCACGACGAAGGGAATTGCCGATATCCAGCACGTGCTCCGCAGCAAGTTCAGCAAGATAAACGCCGGCATCAGGAAGCGGAAGGCTCTCAGCGTGACAGAAGTGTTTCCCCCGCAAAAGGACAACGCCTCGAATTTTTATGTGCCAAGTCCACTCACCTCGTCATCGTCCAGTCAGACCTTTGAGGAGAATCGTTACGACTCGAGCGAGCCCACGTCCCTTCCGCCCTATCCCTTTCACGATAATTTGGAGACCCTGGCGGAGAGCAGCGTTCCGAACTCACCTCACTGCGCCGGTCCTCTTACTGGCAACGGCAACGCTTTCACTTATTCCCAGGATAGCTACGAGCAGAAGGATCTCTACGAGAACGTGGTGTTCTCGAGATCCTCGCCGTCCTGCTGCCCGAGAACTCGCCCCGTTCTTCAACGCAGCAATTCAGAAAACCGCGATGCCAGCGTGCACGATCATTCTTATGAGAACGTACGTTTTCAACGTCAAAGCAGTCACAGGGATGATTTGATCTCGGGCAGTCCTTACGCGGGAAGACACCTGGCCAGAAGCAATTCCGAAACCAGAGAACACTCGTACGAGAACATGCACTTCCAGAAGAGCGCTAAGACTAGAAATCCGTCGGAGTCGTCGTTCGAGGAGATACATATACCCAGAGTGACGCCGAGGAAGAGGTCCACCGACTTCAAAGTTGGTGGACAGGTGAACAATTACACGGGCGAGGCTGCCGGCAGTGGTAACAAAGACGACGCACCGTGTAGTCTGGGTGCTGACAGGAGTCCTGGTAAGAGGAACCCGAGAAGACTCAACAGTAGAAGCGTCGCGAATATCCCTAGCTCTTCGGGCGCGAACTTGAAGACTTGGCAAGTAAGTAGATCTTAATATTTTTTTTTTTTTAACGAAACTTAATTTAACATTTTTTAAAATAACAAACGTAAAGAAAAAGCTAGAAAAAATCGATGTATAAAAAATTGATAAATTAAAAGCACACATCCTTATTATATATTTAGCTGAAATTTTTTTTCTAGAATTTTTGCTTCGATTAAAGACGACGTGCCAATTTTCTTTTAGGGTACTCAAGATGCGGATGAAGGTCTGAATACGGACTCGGAACTCGAAGACATCGACGAGGGCGCCGAGGGCGAGGAGTCGCGCTTCTGTACCTTGCCAAGACCTGGTAAGGGCGGTGCGTCCTTCACGATATTGACCGCTAGATTTCTTAAAGGTCCCGGGCATAAGGGACTCGGCTTCAGTATCGTCGGCGGTACCGACAGTCCTCGCGGAAATATGGGGATTTACGTGAAAACCGTTTTTCCCAATGGCCAAGCCGCCGATCTAGGTGCTGTCAAAGAAGGTAAAGTCATGTTGAATAAGTTAAATTTATTTTCGATCTTTTTTTTAATTTTAACAAATCAAAATGAGAATATTTTTATAAGATGATGTTTTACAATAATAATTTTATCTTTTTTTTTCAATTATATATTTGAAATTTAACTTGTATTCTTTAAATTATAATTCTATTATTTTATCATAAATATATTATATCACATTTTCAAATGTGATACAGAGAATATTTGGCGAAATTTTCTACGTTTGCAGGGGACGAAATTTTATCGATAAATTCGAAACCTCTTCATGGTATGACCCACGCCGAGGCTATCGCTGAATTCAAGTCCGTAAAGGCCGGGGATGTTGTCCTGCACGTAGGACGTCGCGTGAATAAGAAGAAGAGAGAATCCTTGACTCTGGCTCCGGTTAATCCTCCCGCTCCGAGACAACCCGTCAAATAAATTCGCGACAACGAACGATTTTCCTATCTGCCGTACTTTCATAAACTTAATCTCTTTCATATTTCACGAATATTCATAATATAGCAATATCGATAATTATTGCTGGCAATAATACGCGATAAATTGAAGTAAATTGTCATGAACCACTTTCACTCTCTTGACTCTCGTTTTGTGAGACAAATTTATATTAAATTTCTACTATATACTTATATTATAATTTTATTTCTAATTTTTTTTCGTACTCGATTAAATTTTTCTTCTTGAAGATGATTGCAAAATTTTGAGGCCTTAAGAAGAAATGAACGCAAGGCCCGAAAAAGTGCAGCTGGAAAAAGCGGATCTATATTTGTCTCACATTTTCGGGATTAAGATTTTGAAGGCGGAATGATAAAATTATCAGCTCATTTTTGCGTCTGCGGTAAGTTTCAACGAAATTATTAAAAGATTCGTTGTATATTCAAAACGAGGATGGAGCTTACCAGGACAACGAGAAGCGCTTACGAACATGAATCAAGGAATTTATACATTATCAAGAGATTTACGCTTCATTTTATCGATATAAGAATGATATAAAACCGATGATCGCTCAGAAGGAGAACGAGTCGGTAATAAGCAATGTGTCTGACCTCACGTAATCAAATGTGGATGCTGTCCAATCAAAAAGCATTTTATCGTACAACGTGGCCGATATCTCTATTCGGTTACCCCACATATATCAAACATTAATATTTATCGATAACTCATAATCATCGTCTAATGCTATTTAAAATTACTAGACGTATTTTAATGTAACGAAGAATCGTTCAAGCTTTCGACTCGATCGCGTTTTCTCACGTTTATTCATACAGATATACACGAATAGAAAATAGATGAATCGAACGAATAAATTGAGAGGAATTTTTACGGAATACTAATACTTATCGAATATACTATGCAACGAAGTCCTCCAATTAGTGTGATTAATAGACGATTTATTTTTGTAAAACGAAAAAAATAATCTGCGATTTTTGTATAATTATTAATGACGAGTGAAACATTTATTATTGACATGTGTGCAAAAATCAACGAAATGAACGGAATTGATCGAGGTATCAGTTTTACGAGGATTATGTCTAATGGCCTGATCGAGAGTAATACGTGTATGCCTGAATCGGGAGAATTTAACTTTGTTGGGAAAGAAAAATGCAGGGATGTTCAAAGTGACGAAAAGGCGATAATCGAATCTTTTATCAAATTCTTCATTAAATTTTTTATCGAATAATTCAAAATAACAATAATGAGAATTGACACTTTTCCGAAATAAAATATTATCATCTACACACATTTTCTTTATACAAACTCTTGCAATTAGGCATACGATATTCAGAAATGTTATCGCAGAGTTAAGGAACAGAATTAATTTCTAACCGTAGACTAACGAAGACGCCCAAAGATGAAGCCCAAAAAATATTTTTACTACAAAGACGAAAAACACATATATAGAGAAAAGCGCGCATATCTATATATTATATATATATTATACATATACATATATATTTTCATCGAAACACGCGTTTACTTTAAATGGAAGCAACATTATTAGCATCTAGTCGATCTGTAATATTTTCTTTTGAAGACTTTTTTTATAATTGCGACGACGAAAGAAAAACGCAAAAAAGTAGTTTTATATATAAATATATACGGTGATACATACATACACAGATATATTTCTTATATCGATTTTCCAAGGTGTAACGAATTGTATAATCGATTAATAATAATGATTAGTATTTAGGATTGCCGCTAATTCGACGGTGCTACATTGCGAATGTAATGTATGCTCTACATAATAAATGAGAACAATTAATTCCGGAAGCATCTCTTCCATTTATTATTAAGTGTAAGAATTTTAATGAGAGAGTAAATACTCTTAACATAGAAACAAAAAAAAATGAAGATTTGGTTTAAATTTTCCGAAATAATTTGCGTTTGTCAGAAATCCGACATTCCGCTTAAAATAGTTTGTATACTTATTTTGTTTTTAAGACGACACACACATGCAATAATATCCTAGTTTTCGACATCAGTCGAATAAAATGTTTTGTGATCAGTCTACAAAGTCGGAATCAGTGTTGGCAGTGTCGAAACTATCATGCATGACAAGTTGGTGACAATTTTTATAAGAAAAGTCTCGTTTATACATTTATAACCATTTTTATTGTTAAATATAAGGGACGTATAAAACTCGCGTACAATTCCGACCAAGACAATACAACGCAGCTATTTTTCGTCTTCCAATCTTCTTAATGTTGTCCATTGCAATTTTTCTTTTCGGACCGTACGATCGTCGTCATACTAATTTAAGTCGCGTATGTACATTTTAGAGAGCTGTACAATTTGAATATTATTTACAGAGATTTTCGGAAATGTAGAATACAGATAAATTTATCTTTTATGATTTAGTTTTTTTGGTTTATATTTATGAATATTAAAAAAAAAATAAATTTTAATAATTAATATATTAATTCCCTCATATAATTATTTTTTAAAGAATGAATTTTTGGAGAAATATTTTCTCTTTGAAAGATATTCCTGACTTATTTATATTTATTTTATCATAAAAAAATGCTTTTTTAGAGAAAAATGTTTTCAAACATTTTTTATGCGCAAATAAAGATAGACACAGGCATACTCGCTTGTCGATAGTGTTAAAAATAATTTTGCAAGGAAAGGATTAAATAAAGAAAGAAATCTCTCGTCAAACAATTTTATTCAACTTTCAAGCTATATAAATAGTGTGCAAAAGTATACAATTTACTCTAGCATCGCGTTGAGAAAGAATTTGCGCATAAAATTTACGGTTTCGACCTATAACAGAGGAATCACATTGGCTTCTTATCTCGTTTTGTATATTTTAATTTATAATATTAATTAGAGCACGCCGCGCCCAAGTTAACGGAAGATTGAGATCATATCGTGATGTAATCGATTGCGTTGGCGCACGCACATGTAATTATTCTTTTTTCAGTGAAATCTCTGTATATATCGTTTTTGAATATAAACGACGTGTACGGTCTGCAGCAAATGAGTGCAAGTATTGTATAACTCAAATTTTTGCATGTATATACATACACAGGCGACATAAAACTGTCATTTTCTATACTTGGTACGCGTGAAGAAAAAACGAAGAAATAAATAATATACGCATAATGAAAACGCTTATGTTTATTGGACGACATCTATATATTTACCGAAATTTCATGTCGTTGTGTGATTTTTATTCCGCCTCCCTATTTTTAAGATAAACGTATCGCAAGTTAACGCGATTCTGGTCAGGTATTTTTCCTTAAAACCGTAGCGGATCGAACATATGTTTAGTCGAGATTTAGTGAGTGATTATTGAAGGTTAGTATCGTCCCGAGAGCGGCGACGATTTTCAAGTAAAATCGAGAGCAAACGTGATCACAAACACGAGAGATCATACTGATGGAGCTGGGCAAGTGTAAGCGCGGCTTTCGCGATTTCAAAACACACGTGCGATGAATCAAAATAAAGCTCGTCGACGTATTAGCTGATAGTTAAATTAATAAAGATGAAATTTTATTGTTCCGTATATTATGAAATTGAATAATATAGCGAAAACCGCGCATGAAAATGAAAGAGAATTGCAGAAGGATTACATAACTTAAAGTTTGTGAAATATTTTATCAGATATTATATACATAAATATAACTCGAAATTATCAAAAAACAATCAATAATAATTCTTACATATAGCCTGATAATAAAAAAAGGGAATTTTATTTCTTTACTTTTATCAATTAAATAATATTATTACCAATTTAATTATTTCATATTCACAATTCTCTTTTTGCGCGGATTGACAATCTACCGCCATTATATCAGAGTCTCAAGATATTATCACGATTGTAATTATGAAGATCGAATTATCTGTGGCTAACTCTGATGAGCAACAGCCGAACGAAGCGACGATCTTCTCTCCATCAGCCCAGCTCCGCGTGCATACATACAAGTATAGTCTATGTGCGGCATCCTAAAGCTCTAAAGAAGGCGTCGTCGGTGATCAATTTTTCGCGACGACCGAGTTGAGCGCATCAGATCTCATTGACGTTTCCTCCTCTCCTCGATTCCTTCGGCACCACGACCCGATGCTGCGGCGCGGCGACCTCCGCTTCGAGTTTCCTCTTGGCCTCCTCGGTCGCGTTCCTCTCGGTTATCAGATCGGTCGGTTTGGAATAGACGAAGGTGGTCTCCATGCCGTTGGACTGTCCGATGGTCGCCGAGCCCTTCAGAACGTTGTCCTGGGCGCTCAACAGCTGCTTAAATCGCTCGTCGCTCCTGTCGCTCTGGACGTCCGCCATATTACGGGCCGATCTCGAGGAGTCAGCTTTCTGTTGATAGTTCTGTTGCGATGGTTCATTCTCCTTGCCCGTCAGATTCAGCTTCGGATTAAGATTGAGACCCAGCCATTGAGTGAACAGCGCGATACCCTGCTCGGCGCTGGCGGATACCGCGGCGATCAGCTCATCGGTATTTAAGCTGTCGTCCTCGTCGTCCGTAGTTTCGGCGACGGATTCCGTCGTCTCCGTGATGCTGCGTAGGATTTGTTAGGAAAAAAAAAAAAAAGAAATTTTGCCGAGATTAATCGTGCGTTATATGAAAATATGAGCTTCCGGACGAAGAGGTATTGCTACTTACGCGGGCGTTTCTATCTGCCGGACCCCTTGGTGGAAATTGAAGCATCCCATATGATACGTGGCTAGTGCCCTGTCCAACAGAACCGGCTCGATCGCTATGCAACCGTCGTAGCCACCGATGTCGGCTTGCTTCACCGACGTAAATCTCGCGCAGATTTGCGCCACGTCTAACAAGAGGCTCATGCATGTCGGCTTATTGGCCGCATTCGCTGCAAAAGTGCGGATATCGAAGAGTGAAAATTTAATTATATCGATAGATATATGAAAGTGGAAAATATAAGAGGTCGCATGGGGAGAAAAATGTATAATTAATCAATGTACAATTAATCATTTTTTTCTCATTTAATTTTATTTCAAATTAACGGGTGTAATTAATGTTGATAATTTAAAGTTGCATTTAAAAAATTTGATTAATTTTGACATTTAATGCAAATAGAAGACACTTCATTATTTTTATTATTATTGTTATTATAATATTTTTGTTACTACTTGCCGATCCTTGTCGTCGCATTATGAACGGGATTATCGCGATAAGTCAGATTCAGAGTCACATTCTGCTCCTTCTGCCTGAGATTGATGCAAACCGGGCCACCTATATCGATCGCGGCTGTCAAATTCAGGTCGACGCAGCAGAGACAACCGGAAGTCTGGCACAGGCACTTGGACTGAGACGTGGTCGATCTCGCCTCGATCTCTGGCAGGTCCCACGAGAGCAGGGTCTCTGCGGACAGAAGACACGTGGCGGTGCATGTGCGGTGCGAGAGATAAGAAACGCCGCGTACGGGCAGAGAAACTCGGTGCAGAGAAATCAGAACGAAACGAAAGTCGCCGTCGATCGAAAGTCAAATGGAAGCCGAATTTCTACGCGCGTTTCACTGCGTCGTAAAAGTTTGCTTTGGAATTTCTCTCTCTCTCTCTCTCTCTCTCTTTTTCTCGGCGATCGGAATGACGAATCAGGCAGCTAACTGCGACAGCATTTATGCCCACAATAGATGCGGGAAACTACATGCTGAGTGTTAAGCGTGTCAATGTGAATTTCTATTGACGGACTTTCTTGTTGAACCGAGGCGCCGAATGACAATTTTGAGGACAGCTCTTGTCACATTTTTGAGGATAAAGACAGAATAATATAAAGACAAAGAAAACTTAAGGTCGATGAAGATAAAATTAAAGGACTTTTCTCTAATTATTGTATCTCTCGTAAATCTTTTACTTTACGAATTTATATGAGAAAATTTTACGTGTGTTTATTCAAAACGGAATATTATTAATTTGAATTTGCACAGCATATATTTTAAACAATATTTATGTAATCATAAATAAAGAATCAATATATTTAAGATTATTAAAGAGATTGCAAAAATATTGTTGAAAACTAGATTTTTCTGTAAAACTATGTCAACAAGCTTATTCTCTGATAAAATAATAAAATATAAAATATAATTATTTATTTCCAATAAAAATTTTCAAATTACGCGATCCACAATGTATATTTATGACAAGCAAGATAAATTTAACTACTTTTTGTTTTCCACGCGAATAAAAAACAATCGCTTTTTGTGTTTATCATATGATCGAAAATGATCGCAATCGATCAGAAAGCAAAGCAAACACACGTGCACCCGTCTTCCGGACGTTGAAATCTCCGACGCACGTCGACATCATCTGTATCTCTACGCAAGCCTGAATTTTCGCACCAGCGTATTTAATCAAATTTCGATCACAATGAGTCCCAACAGCTCACCGAGCAATCCGGCGGACGCGACGACCACCAGTGTGATCATCAGCATCAAGATCGTAGCTTTCATAGCCATGATGTTCTTCAAGATGACGTTTGTTCAAATCAAAACAGAGCGCTCGGCTAAAAACGATCCCTCGAGCAGCAAGATCCTCGGCTGATCAAGATCGCGCGGGTACTTTCGCGCGGATTCACTGACGCGCGCAACGGATGAGAAGGATCTTCGGAGATCCTGCCCGGCAAAGAAGAAGCTTAAATCTGGACACGGCGCCGGTACCGCGGGTGTAGGATCGCCGACCAGTTTGGCGGTCGGCACGAAAACAGGGGACAGGATTGGTCGGGTACGTCGAGACGGTGGGGCACCCTGGGGATTGAGCATCGTCGACGCGACGCGACGCGACGAGGGGGCAAGGAACTTCATCTGGGTGACCGGGTGACCTCCTTCTTCTCCATCAGCTTGGTACTAGCACAGATGGGGACTCGGCCAATGGCGCCGCGCCCCTCCGCGACGCTCGTGGGGCTACAAACCAGGGGACAAAAGAGACTGGGCTACTCTTTGAGGATTATTATCTCTAGTTCCTTTCTGGAGGAAGGTCATCTTAATAATGATTTTTCTACAAGATTGCCGGAAAGCTTTGACGATTTTAGATAGATCTGCAATTTTTTTGAGATTTTGTCGAAAGCGGGAAGAAGTAGAGAAATGTAGAGCTTCTCTCTGGAAATTTCTTCCAGGCATTGTCATCTCGGGGGCATCTTCACGCTCTCGCGCACGATTCTTCACCGTGAAGGCAAACATTCATTAAATTGTCGTTGTCACAAATTTTCTGCGACAAGATCGGAGTAAGATAGGGAAGAATATTTTCAGTTCTTGAATAACCGTGTCAAGTTTGGCGAGGAACTTTTGTAAGATTGCTAAATGTTCTACTTTCGAATTTAATTATCGACATTACCGACTTCTTGCTCCTCTCTAAGTTTCTATACGCGTTACTGCGCAAAATTTCCGTAAACGCAAGAGAACACTTTCCAACAGGCTCAAAAAAGCTCTTTATGCGCGAACGTTTTCTAATTTAATAACACGCCGCCGGAGATTTTTCTTTTTTTTCCCGCGCGAGCACCGTCTCTTCTCTCAGCTTTCACCGTTTGAAAAAAATCACGGTCGGCCGTTTATTGATTTACTGCAAAATCATTTATGATTCCAACAAATTGATTACACTGTCTTCTTTCTTTCTCGGACAAATGCGTGGGCATGGTTCGCGCGTGATTCCGAGATAGAAAACGGAGCAAAGTATGTGCTGATGTAACTATCAAAATGGGCCGAGTAAAAAATTATTTTTTTTGAAAGAAAGAACATCGCTAATAAATTCGATTCGTTACAATAACGCGGAAACATATCTTGTCCATCTACTATTGAAGACTTTTTTGTATCAGAGATTATCAAAGATACGCGTGTTGAAGAGACAAAAATAGACGTGTGTCTAGCTTGATAAAACTAATAAATTCGATTCGTTACAATAACGCGGAAACATATCTTGTCCATCTACTATTGAAGACTTTTTTGTATCAGAAATTATCATAGATACGTGTTGAAGAGACAAAAATAGACGTGTGTCTAGCTTGATAAAGTCACGCGACAAAATTAAAGATTAAGATTTCTTGCAATGTCAAAAGATACTGCGGAAAAAGATCGCGATTTCTCCAAAGTTATATAATTATATCGAAAGAAGCGATCTCCCCGAAGCAACCGGGTATTTACTCTGTCGTCAATCATCGCCAGGAAACGATTATTGGTTAGATATTATAATTGCATAAATAGTCTCTTCGTATCACGAGACGTCAATGTCAGGAACATGCGATCACTCCGCCTTAATCGCCATGTAAATCTAATCACGTCAGCAAGCGCGACTGCACGTCGGAATCGTCGGTTAATGTTTTTTCTTCGCCGATGCAACTGCGGGATCGCAAATTGGAGGCACGCAGCATCCGATCGACGATTATTCCACGAGATTACGTAAAAACTCGTTCGTCCCCCGCACGCGATCGGGATGACCCACATGTTTGTGGGTCATTTGTGGTATTCGTCGATACTTTAGGAAATTGCGAAGATCGAATCGTCATTCAAAATAGTACTGCGGGAAATAATAGAATCTATTCTGTTGATTTTAGCGCGATTTAATTTAATCGAAGGAAACTATACATTTGAAACGCCATTCGAGTGAACCAAGCAATTTCTAATCTATATTCATTATAAACAATCATTTTTGAAATTATACCAATATCTACTTGACATTTGAAATGTGTAAAAATTAGCACAAATTTTTCCGAAATAATGATTTGATTTTTATTATGAGAAACGCTATCGTTTTTAAGCATGTCAATTAGACATCCAATTAGAAGTTCTAATACTAATAGCTATCGCTCTATCGATGACCTGGGCCGGCCGTCAAACGAACAAATATTAACCAAGACGAACCATCATTCTGACCACTACTTTCTTCGACCTACTAACCGGAGAAAGGCCCCTCCTTAACCGCCAAAACACGATTCACGTAAATCGCTTCGAGAATTCCACGAGGGGCAAACGAATGAACAAGAGCCAGCATTAATTTCTCGCTGCACTCGTATCGTTCTTTGCGCGTGTTCTGGATATTTTTCCTCTTTTTCTTTCTTCTCTTGGACAAGACGATATACTCCCGCAGAGGAAACTGAACGTGCACGAAAGTGGGTCTTCGGTTAGAATTTGTGTCGTGAGCTCGTCGCGTCTCGCATGAGTTTATGGCTGCGTCGCCATCTGTTTGTACCATTGTGTAAAAATTGAAAAATACTTTGGAGAGGTAAGTTATAAATTTGATTGATGATATATATATATATATATATCGAGCTACCAAGTAATCAGACTTTGAATTTGACGCTCGAAGAGGAAGATAACATCGGCCAATTAAAGCTGTGATATTTGTGTATATAGTTATATATAATTATATGAGTTTATTATTATAATACACTTCATATAAATAACTTTATATTTATTGCAATTAATATATTATTATTATTATTATTTATTATAATAAAATATAATAAATGTTCAAATATATATGTATTTAATTTCATTATAAAATAATGCAATAACATTGAATTTGCCTTGATATCTTGTGGGATACTCATTGAATGGATATTGATATCATTTATCTTCATATCGTTAAAATATACTCTCGTTTTAATTGTAGACAATGCCTTCAAGAATTTTGCATAATAGAAATGAATAAAAATCAATTAATTTAATTCTAAATTAATAATTGTGTTTATTTGTGATTTTAGATAATTTTCTACATCTTTTATCCTTGTTATATTTAATCGAAGATATTTGTGACACTTGACAATATTTTCTAAGAATCTCTATTGCTTCGTTATAACGAGTTCTAGCTGATGACACAAAATGCGAATGAACGACTCGCGACCGAGCCTAAATTTCACCGTAAAACGGGGTCAGCAAACAAGCGTTCACTAACCGGCCAGTCAAGTTTCGATCGTCCGGGAAGGAGCACATCTCGAGGAGATGTCGTCTTACCTCGATTAAACGTCGGGCAAGATCAAGGACACAGGATGAAGCAGACCGCTCGCTGGCTGCTATTGATCGTCGTCCTCGCGACGCGATCGGCTTCGGTGCCGAGGATCGACAGGAACCTTACGACAGAGGGAAAAATCGTTAGCAGCGGGATCGAGGAATTTTCGGTATCGCGGGAAGACTTGAAGCAGCTGAAGACGTTGCTGAGACAGGCCTCGAATTCGTCACAATCTGGAAATGAAACGGTTACCGCTACAAGACAAGGACCATGTCAGTGTCTCGGTGGCGTTTGCGGATGTTGCTCGCGGATCTTGTACGACAGGTGGAAACAGAAGGCCTGTGTGAACATCACGTACGATCCCGATGAGTTTAGCTTCACCGCACACATCTTGATGAATGATAGAATCCTTTATACGAGGACTGTCTCTGGTAAGTAGTGTGTACAGAGATAAGTCCACACGTTTGATTGACCAACGAAATTTGTAGATGAAAGAAAAAGAGAGGAATTTCTAGATCGGAGATTTTTATACAGATAATATTCTTTTTCTAATTCGTTCTTTGTTATATATTTTCAGGAAAGAATCCTAGACCGATGTGCGTTCCTTTTCCAAGGATACCGTTCATAAGAGCATGCGTCAGATTTTATAATATATATTTCCAAGGCAGAAATCTTCATCTGTGTGTCAATATGGAGGGAAAATTCGAGGATACGACAGTGTTTAAGGTCAGATTTAAAAATTCGTTGTTGTAAAAAATATTATGGAATATCTACACACACATATACTTCTGTAGAAGTAACGCAAATGCAAAAAAATTACATATAAATTTGCTCTCATATAATTGTAAAAACATGATATATTATATATAATAAATATTTCATTATGTGCGAAACGCGATGTGTAAAATGCGTCTATTTGTACAGGTGAGTTTAGATTGCCTTAGATTCGGTGCAAACGGACTAGCTCTTTTAAAACCAGAAGATGGAGGCGGTTTGGGTCAAGTAGAAGTTTTTCCCGATGACGTTAATGATGATGAAGACGATTACGACGATGAAAATGAGGAAGATGATGAAAATGATGATGAAAATGATGATGATGATGATGATTATATATATATATATATATATATAATACTTGTTACATTTAATTACAATTTTCTTTTTATGATAAGCGAGTATATCTGTTTTTATATTTTATAATACATATTTTGTTTTATATTTTATTACCTTCTATTTTATTTTATTCTGTTATAGTCATAGTAAAAAGAATTTAGTATGTCCGTTAAAGATAATAGTTAGTAGCAGCTCCACGAAATCTGCCTGTATGATAATATAGATGTCAAAGCCATCGGCATGTACGACGCGTATAAAGAATGGATGTCACTTACGTTGATTGTCGATGCATCGCAAGTTATCGGGACGATATAGAAAAATTAGGTCTCATTATACAAGGTGCACAAATGATAAAATAGAAGATTATAATATGTATAATAACGTTCAACTGACAATTGTGACATATGCGTAACAATAAAACTTTATAATTAATATTTTGAATAGTAACATTTTAAAGAATTTGCCATGAAAAATCTGATGTATAAAGATAGAAAAATATAATTAATAATAATTTCTTCCTGAACTTTCGCCATGTAGAACAGTATTATTAAAAAATACATAAATATTTTTTTTATATATTTATCTTGCCGGAACATTCGTCGCTCGAGGGATATTCTATGTATTATTTATTTCTTCTTATCACAATGATTTATTCAAACGACTTTATGTAAATAAATGTACCGCGAAGGTTGTCGCGAAGGCTGTCGCTTTTTCTGCCGGAATCCGGATGACGGAAGTCACCGGCACGACTTCCCCCTTTCCCCCCAACCTTCGCGGATATTTTCGTACGTGTTGAATCATTCGGGAACATCTCCATTCATCTGTACGCGCCATGAGCCTCCGGTACCGGTTTGTAGAGAGATGGAAAGGCGCTTTCATCGTTGGAACGACGACGATGACACCGCCGCTGTCGTCGTTCAACGAGGTGCGACGAAAAATCGGAAGCGAACGATTGGTGCGAGAGCCGTCCTCTGATTTACCTAGAGCGCATTAGAATGTTTAATAATCCTAGCAGCGGCTTGCGAGACGGCAGGTGGTGGTCGGCCTGACCGACTTTTAAAGAGACCTTGGGGGGAGTTGGGCGGCATCTTCAGTTGGACATTGGCCTCCGTAAGACGAAGAGTCAGGGAAAAAGAGCCGCAGGGTGCAGGAGAGCACGAGCACGGCCGCCTCCTTGGATTTCTTCTCAACGATCCACAGGTGGGTAGAGTCACGTATATACAATCTGTCCGTTCGAGGGTTGGAAAACAAACATATCGCGATAAAAAATTCATCTAGACGCGATCACTGAGCATCCTTTAAATACGGTACTCTTGATCTCTTTAAATATAATCTTTTTTTCATAACGTATAATCTTTACTTCTACTTACATTTAATAGAATTAAGTTGTTATATCTTTAAGTCACTAGGATAGAGTTGATATATATTGATAAAGCGTGAAATAAGATCAATGCTTATATTTTTGAGAAGAATTCTCTTTCCCATTTATTATACAAAATTGACAAAAATTTTGCTTTATATTTCAAATATCATCAGGTAAATAAATTTAAGGAAATAATATATCAGAAGAGAAAGAGAGAGAAGTATTAAACATTTAAATAATATAAAATAAGTATTAAATATTTAAATAATTCGGTGCCGAGGATCGACAGGAACCTTACGACAGAGGGAAAAATCGTTAGCAGCGGGATCGAGGAATTTTCGGTATCGCGGGAAGACTTGAAGCAGCTGAAGACGTTGCTGAGACAGGCCTCGAATTCGTCACAATCTGGAAATGAAACGGTTACCGCTACAAGACAAGGACCATGTCAGTGTCTCGGTGGCGTTTGCGGATGTTGCTCGCGGATCTTGTACGACAGGTGGAAACAGAAGGCCTGTGTGAACATCACGTACGATCCCGATGAGTTTAGCTTCACCGCACACATCTTGATGAATGATAGAATCCTTTATACGAGGACTGTCTCTGGTAAGTAGTGTGTACAGAGATAAGTCCACACGTTTGATTGACCAACGAAATTTGTAGATGAAAGAAAAAGAGAGGAATTTCTAGATCGGAGATTTTTATACAGATAATATTCTTTTTCTAATTCGTTCTTTGTTATATATTTTCAGGAAAGAATCCTAGACCGATGTGCGTTCCTTTTCCAAGGATACCGTTCATAAGAGCATGCGTCAGATTTTATAATATATATTTCCAAGGCAGAAATCTTCATCTGTGTGTCAATATGGAGGGAAAATTCGAGGATACGACAGTGTTTAAGGTCAGATTTAAAAATTCGTTGTTGTAAAAAATATTATTGAATATCTACACACACATATACTTCTGTAGAAGTAACGCAAATGCAAAAAAATTACATATAAATTTGCTCTCATATAATTGTAAAAACATGATATATTATATATAATAAATATTTCATTATGTGCGAAACGCGATGTGTAAAATGCGTCTATTTGTACAGGTGAGTTTAGATTGCCTTAGATTCGGTGCAAACGGACTAGCTCTTTTAAAACCAGAAGATGGAGGCGGTTTGGGTCAAGTAGAAGTTTTTCCCGATGACGTTAATGATGATGAAGACGATTACGACGATGAAAATGAGGAAGATGATGAAAATGATGATGAAAATGATGATGATGATGATGATGATGATTTATTCTAAAAAGATTTTTTGTAAGAATGGATTATGTTAATATTATAAATTATATATGCTATGCATACATATTTATTTGTTATTAATATCATAAATAATTGTACATATTTTTTATATAATTTTTATACAATTGCATACTTAAAAAAAAATTTAATTCTGTATTTTTTTACATCAATTCATTTATTATTTCGTGTGTAAAAGAGTATTAAGGTCATTCAAACATGGTTATTTTATGAGATATTTTATATCACAATCAAATAAGTTATGAAATGTGTTATATTAAAATAAATTATGAATATCTCGTAAATTTTTTATTGATTTTTTCTTAATGCTTTCATACATAGTACATAGCATACATGCACGTGCACATATATCTGTAATAAAAGATTAAGATAGAATCAAACTAATCCATTTATATGTATATCTATATGAAATCTTATATATATCTATATATAAAAGTATTAAAATAGAGAATATGAGCTAATCCATTTTAAACATTTATCAAAAATATTTTAAAAGCAATACTTTTTTTTTGAACGGAAGATGTGAGACAAATGTTTTTTGTCATTAAGGAGATAAAAAAAAATTATAATCTCTATTTGATCTTGAGTAATGGTATCAAGATTACGTCACATGTTGATTTTTTAAAATAGGAAATTTATCGATTTGAGTTAAGATTATTAACATTTAAATAATATAAAATAAGTATTAAATATTTAAATAAGTATTAAATATAAAATAAGTATTAAACATTTAAATAATATAAAATCTAAATCTTTGCGAACATACACGCAATTATATTACGCATATATTATATACAGTTATATTCCTATTAATAATCTATTACCGTTGTACTAATAAAATCTTCCAAATCTAGATTGATACACAAAGTTTGAAAAGTCATTCTATAGATCGCACTAGCACTTTTGTCCGTGATTTATTTTCTGGACGAGATGCGAAGAGAATCGATCGATCGACTTTACGGGTGACATAGCGAAATGTAACTCCAATCGCGTATCCAGCTCCTTGACCATATAACGCGTTCTATAACGGTGACACGAATGTGTCTCTCTGCGCGTGTAAAGACACGCGTTTCCTCGATAGTATCACTAAAGTCCGCCATCGAGTCTCGAGTAGCGCCTCTCTGACGCATGCCTTTGACCGTGACCGGGATTTAGGTCAACCGGTCGCGGACATACGAAAGGAACTTGCGTTCAAAACCGGAAATAAAATTTGTTTCTTTGTCTCAAAATGATTTATCTAATTATTATTTAAAAAAAGATGAGAATCTTAACATCAAAGGATAGAAAGATCCGAAATTACCTCGACGGTCTATCTCGACGATTGACGAGCGGAACGAGTGTCTCTATTGTTCGCCGACAATAACTATGGGATAATTATTGGAAGATGAGAGGAAAGAGAGAGAGAGAGAGAAGGAGAAAAGAAACATGCGTTCAATGAACTTTTTTAATGTGTGCTTTGCGTGACAAGTTAAACGCGTGCTGCGTGAAATTCAAGTGTGATGATCTCAAAAGTCGCTCAATCGATGAAACGAGTTTTCACGAATATTCCTTGGAATTTGTAAAACTTGTATTTAAATTAGATTTCACTAACATTATATCTTAAAAAAATAAATTTCAGATTGCATCAGAAATTGAACTGATAAAAAATAATTATATTTTTAATTTCCTGTTAGTTGCTCTTTGCAAGCTTTATATAATTCTCATGACCAAATCTCAAATACGAGTTTGCGCTTCGCATAGCGGTAAACAAACTAACTAGCGGTTGAATACTATTTTTTGTAAAGTTTTTGGAATGTTGCGCATAGTAACATTTCTCATAAATTATTAAATAAATAATAATTTTGAATATGTGAAAATGTGCGCATCAAATTCAATTATTAATATTAAACGAAATTAATGTTAACAGTTAATTGCACATGTATATGTCCTCTGGAAATCCAAAGGACATTCAATATAATAGACAGGGCAGACATCCAGGGGTTATCCAGGGGACATTTATAGGACATTAATACTTATTACAATACTTAAAATTTCTAAATTATATTAAATAGCCTACATAACCGAAAGTAATCATGTATGCATATTAAATTTTCATAAAATATATTTATAATAATATCTTAAAACATCCTACAAATATCCTGAACCATCCTGGACATATTCAGGATGATCCTGAGGACGTTTTGTGCTGTCTGGGTATAAAACACAATTTTCTTTCAGGTTTAATATCGCAAATCTGCCATGAATATATAATATTTTTATTTCAATATATGCATATGATGATCAATAATCATAGTGTCGTTCTATTTGCATAATTCAATAAAACAATCGGAATTTCGGAGATTCATTGCAGGCCGCGAACACGTCTTATATTGGTGTGGTGTCCTGAATTTCTTGACCTAAATAATCCGCGCGGATTGCTGACCTAAATACTCCACGCGGACTCTGGATCGCCTGCCAATAATCATAGTCCATTCGATTCTCGATCCAATAGAAAACTCGGATTTCGTCGTCTCGCGAATCATGTCGCGTCTTTTTGGCGTTCCGGGCTTTCTTCTCGCATCCTTCTCGCATCCTTATTGCATCCTTCTCGAGTTATTTTATCTCTAATTCCTTAAAAGGCACGCTCGAGCTCGAGCGAGCACTGCTCGGTCTCCCCGAAACTTAATACTTAGATAAAAAATGAAAGTCGATACTTTTTTTCACAACTTTCAGTTATTTAGATGTCGCGATTCACACCGAAAGTGTGAAACAACATGTTTATTTACGTGTCCACCTGTCATCGACTTTCTTATCGTATAAGTGATTTATGTCTCACACAATTTAGTTGAAACTACTCACTCACACCTCGACGGTCTATCTCGACGATTGACGAGCGGAACGAGTGTCTCTATTGTTCGCCGACAATAACTATGGGATAATTATTGGAAGATGAGAGGAAAGAGAGAGAGAGAGAGAAGGAGAAAAGAAACATGCGTTCAATGAACTTTTTTAATGTGTGCTTTGCGTGACAAGTTAAACGCGTGCTGCGTGAAATTCAAGTGTGATGATCTCAAAAGTCGCTCAATCGATGAAACGAGTTTTCACGAATATTCCTTGGAATTTGTAAAACTTGTATTTAAATTAGATTTCACTAACATTATATCTTAAAAAAATAAATTTCAGAAATTTCTATTAATCGATTAGCGGCTTTTAAGAGAAATCTTATTTCCCAGTCATGTCACATCCAAGTATATCTCATTTTTTTTTTCAGTAATTAATTGTAATAAAATTGGCAAGATTTATTAAGATATTAATTAAATTGTTACTGCATGTAGTTGCATTAAAAAAAATTTTGATCCCTAAAAATTACGTTAAATTGTTTAATAAGGTATCACGTGTGATGATCAATTAATCGCGAAACAATAAAATGACATTTATGGCGATGATTCAGAACGACTTGTGTGATTTTTTGATGTTTGCACCGGCACGCGCGTAAAATATTCTTATATTTTCACGATTTCTATTATCATGTTTTTTATTGGAATCAACCGAAAGATTGGAACGTGCCGTCACATATAAGACGGATCTTTTCACAGCGTGATATGGTAATCACATTGCATGTTTTTGTCATTGTTTCCAGAACGGGCGACAGGATGCGACTGTCGACGATTTTCGAGCTATTGCTGATCCTCTTGCTGGTGGCATTTGCAGCTTATGGTCGAGTAATCGGTAAGAAGAATAAATTTAAGAAGAAAATAAGTGATGAGGAGAAGGAAAGTAAAAAAATAAACTTCATGAAAATTTGAGAAAAAGATAGATATAAATTTTAAATTGCACAAAAAATACAGGCAAAATGCAATGGTTACATTTGGTTTTTAAAAAACAAAAACTTTAATTATTTGAATTAAAAAATACAATTTTCTAATATCAATCGAATACTGTAAAGAAAAAAATTATAAAGCATCTTGTAAAATTATATAAATATTCCCAGATCGCGATGATAAGACACATCGGGTGGCTCGCGCCGCGGATAACACGAAGCAGAATGGCATGGACCTATCGACGATGTCATTGAAACAGGCGACCGATAGTGTGAACCGATACTGCACCTGTAACGAGAACATCTGCAATTGCTGTCGGGACTTTCACATACCGGTTGTGCAGCTGAAAGGACCAGGTAATTACCGTGCAATGCAATTGTGTCGCGCGAAAAATGAGAGTGTAGCGGAAACGTGAACGTGAATGCTTATTATCTATCGTATTACGTTATCGTCCGATTAATTGTTATCGTATCGCATTATATGTATTAATATTTTAAATAGGTCTTTCTAGACTCTTTTTTATAATAAAATGTATATTATGTTATTCTTTCTCATGATAAGAGAATCTCTTTGTATTTGAAATTCGTAGGATGTGCCTCCCTGCAATATCTACAAGGTGACAATTTGGCAGTTCAGCTGAGTTTTGGTGACAACATATTAACCAGCACGATCGTTAACGGTAAATACGTTCAGTAACGGTAACGATTAACAGTTGTCGTCCCGCTATTTTCTCTTATTATTTCGATAAAACCAATATTTTGCCAAGAATTACTTATTACAGATTATAGATTTCAATAAATGGTAGTCTGGAAAGCATTTTACGTAATATTATTAATATAAAAATATAATTATATAGAGCGTTATAAATAATTATAGCAAACTTTCTAATAGAAAAATATAACAAAATCTTTTAAATAATCTTTTAAATAATTTTATTGTGATTTTATTTAATGTAATTTCGATAAAGGTTGATTTGTTGATGGAATAATGTCATTACAAATTTCGTATAAGTGATTTATGTCTCACACAATTTAGTTGAAACTACTCACTCACACAAACTTATTTCATACATTTATCGATGTAGTTCCGAGCATTTCTTTCAAACTCGGTTTATTGAAAGCGCGTTTAATATATTATTGATATTTTGCGATTAAAATAATCAACGTCATTTGCATAAGAAGTAAATGTTTACACATTATCTATATTTTTTTAATTCTTGGCTAGAAAGTGACATTATAATTAATGTAGAGAGGAATTTTAAGAAGAAATTACATTAAAATATGTACAAAAACATCTTTCTTTAAACTCTTGTAGTTATTTATTAAACTATTTATTGCGATTAACAATTATATATTAAGATATATTTTTGTTATAACAATTGTATGCATTGCTCTTTAGTTTGAATCGCGAGGAACGGATGCCTGGATGCATGAATGTAATAGTGAATTTTACTCCCGTACATAATTCAGAATAGACAAAAACGTTCCGGATATTTTCCTATAACATAATAGCTCGTGATTGCATCCTGTACAATGCAAGTAGAACGCATAAAAGCAGAAAGTGTTTAGTGCGAAACGAAACGTCGCTGCACACACAACTCGATAATAAGCTAATATAATTTCACGAGAAGAGAACATATATATTTACTTATACTATCATAAAAGCATAATATGTAAATATGAATTCGCGTAGCATTAGTGCTCTTGTTTTGATATGGTTGTATCTTGTTTGCGAAGCCATCGCTATCCGTTCAAGTTAGTGCTAACAATTATCTTCGTCACGTTAAATTTTTATATAATTATATACTATATATTTTTATATAATTACATATATATAATATCAGTTAAGAAAGTTTTATATCTATCAGAGTAAACAATACCCCGATAAATGAACAAATCGTGATAACTAGAATTTTTAAGAATAATTAAGATATCATAAAACTTTGTAAAAAATGTGCTATTCTATTAGATATTTTTATTAGATACGCCTCTTCCCTTTAAAAAATATTTTGTATATATTTTATTATGTGAGTTATCAATTTAAATAAGAAACGCTGATAGATGAAAAATTTTATCAGGCGTTGCTGTACCCAGAGGATTTCTGATTTATAGAACGATCTCGATTAGTCAACGATCTTGCAACTGCTCGATGTCCTTCTCCTGTTCTTGCTGTCAAAGTGTGATCATCCGATATACGAAAGAGAAGAAGGATCGTAAGTTTTGAAACCTTATTAAAATTAAAATTTTGCAATCATTTTTTTGCCAAGTTATAACATTTTCAAGCTAAAGAATTTTTGGCGAGAAAAGAAAATGTTCTTTATTTATTTTTTTTATTTATGAGCACAATGTGAATATCTGAGAATAATAAATTAAAAGTTGGATTATTGCTTTCTACATCGCAGTATGCGTGAATTTCACGTATCAGAGAAACGGATTGAATGTGGATGTCACGTTGAGTTCGGACACAATCAGCACCAGAACAATCACGAGTGAGTGTTTTTCCATTAATCTTGCTGTGCAATATTGCAGAATCTAAAAATCTGCACTGAGATAACATATGAGTTATCTATGCACGTAAAAGAAGTGATAGAGATTTCATAACAACGTAGAATCCGAAACAGAGAAATAATCACCACGTTTACAAGCGCGGCTTTATTTTTTGAAAATTTATTTTACAGATTTTAAAGCGTTGCAATTTTGCGTGCACGTTCCCGGTTGCTTGTTCTCGTCTGCATGTGTCAACATGTTGGAGTTGAACCTATTTCCTACGTAAGTGTCTAAACAATTTTTATCAAAGTGACTTCATATATCCGAATTTGTGATGTCAATGGGAAGGAATCCAAAATTGAACAAAAATGTTTAGTTTAATTTACAATTCTTAAAATTTTTATTATTTTACCGAATTTATCATCTAATGTAGCTTGCTTTTGCTTACACATTTATTTCCAACTTACAATTTTTAATTTTTTCTTGTAGATCCATTACGGTTCGCCCTCGCCTGGACATTTATGCCACGAAACAACTTTGGCAGATCAATTACAACTGTATAAGTGTGTCAATAGAGCTGCCGATGATGCCGATGAATAACACGACGAGAATGACAGACATGACAAACGAGGAAATGTCCACGGCAGGAAACGAAGAAATGGAATCGTCGTCAATGACAGAATCAATGACGGGAGAGATGATGATGACTACGCAAATGTCGGAAGCAAACGGGATGGTAGAACAATTAAAAGAAAAAACTGAAATGTCAGAACTTATTTTGGAAGAAACGGTCGATTAATACAAAGTGAATTATAAAAAAAGTTTAATAGAAATTTATCAATTAAATGATCATAATTAAATGACAGTTCCAATCAGTTCGGTGGTCGGAGGCCGACTTAAGCGGCCGTTCTTATTGCGATCATTCCAAATCTTTACAAGAGAAGCCGAGAAGGAGATATCGTTGCCGATTTTCCTCGAGTGGTCGCGCTTATGTCGATATATGTACCGTTTTTTCTTTCTCGTTGAAAATTTATACTTATTCTGAAACTAGAACTCGTCGCGGCAACTATACGATATTGCAATTCTTATCCTTGATTATCGATCGCGCTATCAAATCTCGACAGCGATACTCATTGTTACAAAATTAAGTTGTTTGTGAACATTTTCAAAATATATATAGTTTTGCAATCTTTCAGATTGTAAGTAAACAACATCCCCGAAAATCGATGTTTCGAAAAATTTCGGCTATCATCTGTTTGAATGTGCATATTGTTGTCTTTGTGATGTTATGAATTGTATATAAAAAACTCTTTGTGTGTGTGATGTGTTTCTCAATAGACTCTTCAAAACTCAGAGACGAATTTTACGTCAGTTTCTTGTCTTGATTCAAGAACTATATTGTTTTTAATTAAGGACAGTATCCTTTTTTTCAAGTAACCTTTTCACAAAATTTTAGGTATTTAGTAATCGTAAAAAAGCAAATGTTTAGTCTTCATTTTACATTTTAAAATCCAAAAGATCCACATTTAACGCTTAATACGATTGTATTCATTTCGTAATAATATTCTTTTCGACAAACAAATAGTATTGATAAATGCATTAACTGATGAGTGTAGATTATATTAGACATTTAAATATGTGTTTTATGAATAACATGCTGAAATTTAACAGAATGGTTTGGCTAAGAATAGTAAAAGTTATAAGTGTCTCCTCCCCATACACACTGTCAGTCTACTTTATTTAAATCGCATTGTAGACTCGACTATTCTTTCTAATTAATTAGTAGGCTTTTGTTTCAAAAGTTTTAGACTTGTAACATTAGATACTGGCTATTACAAAATAAATGAAATTGCATTTAGAGTCAATTTAATTAATAAAACATCTGCTCTGGATTTTGTATCACATTTTTTTCATCATCTCGTTCTGACTGATAAACGAAATATCTCTGTTATAATTAGACTATAATAATATTACACAAATATCTTTAAAGATGTCTTGACATTGATAGTCTGCAATTATAAAAATTATATTAAAATTTTGCAAAAACAATGGCATAATTTTTTGATTGTTGTATCTTCCGGTTGGAAAATTATTATATTACGCAACTTGGCTCGTTTGTTATTGTGAGTAGTTTTTTCAGTAACATTGTATAGCAAGTGTCAGCACAAAGAAAACATAAAGATAAATTTAAATTAAAGTTAACACAAATGTATGTAAATTCTGTTTCAAATCAATATTAAAATCAATATATCCTCTTGTCATTTGCCACTTTATTTCTATTAAAAATAAGCTCTAAATTAAATAATACAAAATATATAAATTAAACAAAAATAAAGCTCTCTCATTTATATATTTTTTTTATAAACATATTTTTTACGTAATATTATTAATATAAAAATATAATTATATAGAGCGTTATAAATAATTATAGCAAACTTTCTAATAGAAAAATATAACAAAATCTTTTAAATAATCTTTTAAATAATTTTATTGTGATTTTATTTAATGTACTTTCGATAAAGGTTGATTTGTTGATGGAATAATGTCATTACAAATTATTAAAAAAAAACTTGGTCAGATTGATAATATTATGTAATTCACGTTTATCTGTTGTCTAAAAATCTAATACAGCATGCACCATAAAAAAAGAAAAAAATTACGCACGTATACCACGCGTCCAAGAGCTAGCGGAAAAGATGTGTTAATTGTGCATTCAAATTAGCATAATGTCCAGGAAATATAATCCGACTTTTATTTAATATATGTGTGCCATTGTCGATACAAGATAATAAGATAATGATAAATAAAATATGTACACGTTGCGTTTTTAGCTCTTCTTCAACTTCTTTTTAAAAAAACAAACTAAAAAATATCATTGTATAAAATATCTTTGTCCCGTTATATCGGGCAAATTTCATACTTTGGCATCAGCTTTGAATATGTGAGATCGCACATTCATGTTTCTTCGGTAGAAGTTTATAAAAAATAGATTATAGAGTCTCTCGAATGTGTGAAGCATAGACGTTATTCGGCGAATTTGTGTCAGTCCGGAGTGAAAGTATTTGTATAGATGATTTTGAAAATGTTGATATCGAGTATATTCTTTTTCTATTTTGGTCAACGACCTCAATTTACTTAAACTCTCTCTAAACGAGTTATTTTAAATATTTTTAACATATAGAATATATTTAAAATGCTTTTAATAGTGTATTTTTAAATTAGATATATTTTACTTTATTTTTAATTTATTATAGAAATATTACATTTATTATATAGACACATATCTCTCTTAATAATTTCTTTAAATAGAAGTTAGAGAGAGAGTTTGATATATATGCATCGAGAAAATATAAATTCCAGGGAAGAATCCGAAGCCTGTATGTGTTCCTCTACCGGGTGGCTTTAGCAAATTCTGCGGCAGGATTTATTCCATCCAACGTGACGCGAAGAATCACTTCAAAGCTTGTCTCGGTCTGGAACTGCAATCATCTACCGAACTGGAAGCTAGTCTTCGCGTCAGTTGCTTCAGGTACTTAACGATTAAAATGTCATTTGGATTTTTATTTTATTTTAATTGATAAAATATATGATATAAGCGAGAGAGAAAGAGAGAGAATTTACATTCAAGAGAAATAAAAATTTAATATATAAACTATATTTATAAAAACATTATTAAAAGTATTATAATGTTATCTTAAATTTCAGGTTTGGTCCAGAAGGTTTGAAGCTTCGACCAGCCGAGCCACTTCCGGTTATCGAGGCGGAATCCGTCGAGGAAGATGATGATGATGATGATTTCTTCGGACTTGGCTCCGACGATGATGACGATGATGACGATGACGAAGATGACGAAAGACCTTCCCTCAATTCCGTCACGGATGCTTCGGCAGTCAATGACGCGCAAGAGTCGGATGACGATGACGACGACGATGACCTTTTAGGTTTTAGCGCTCTGATAGATATCTTCACCGGTGACGACGAAACCGCCACGAAGAGACCTAAAGTTACCACTGCGGCGCCATTGTTGGAATTTACTATACCGATTTTATCAAAGCCAACGACGCCGGCATCACTGGACGATCACGAACTGCCTACTTTCCCCAACAACGAGTCGGAAAATGACGACGAGGAACACGAAGGCACTCAGGAACCCGGTAAAGTGGTAGACGAGGAAAGTACGGGATCGACTGAGAGCAACACGGAAAATAACACTGATGAGAATCAAGATCAAGTCACGGAGGCCTCTAATAAAGTCACGTATCTTGCGAAGCCTAACAAGGCGACCACCAATAAAGTAAAGAAGGGAATTATTGGACAGAAGAAACCCAGCGTGACGTCGACTAGCGTCAATGCCATCCATGATCCCGAGAAACCAGCAAAGAAACCCATCAAGGACGAGTATGATGAAGACGTTGATGACGATGATATTTTGGGCGATGACGACGATGAGGATGACGACGACGACGATGATGAAGTACTTGACGACGATGACGAAGACAAGAATGATGTATACGAAGACGATGAAGATAAACCAGATGATGAAAAGCACACAGAGCATTATGATGATGGTGATGACGATGATGAGAAGGCTGAGGATCTTGCTGAATTGGACGACGATGACGATGATGACGAAGAAGAAGATGCCATGTTGAGTGCTCTTATGGATACAGGGAAAAATAAAAAAAATAAAAGGAATACGACGAGTCAGACTAACGCCGATAAACACGACGAGGATTACAGCGGTGAATTGGACTTTCTGGCCAGAAAGCATCCCGATGGGAATCGTCAAAGCAAACTCACAAGGCTTTAAAATGTGCAGAACTCCAGTCAATAGGATAATTGAAAGAGAATCGAAAAAAGCTGTTTTTTTTTATCTGACCGTAAATTCGCTGTTTCGATAAAACTTAAGGCGTTTTGTCGAATCAACGGAGTATTCGTCAAAAATTCGGTAGATTAATACAATTGTGATAATGTCAGACCCATTTTTAACGATAAAATTATAAAAGTCTCTGCGTTTCTCCAAGTTTTGTAACAAAATATAAAAATAGAATTACAATTATATTCCAATTATTATTTTATAACATTATATAAAAGAGATAATTTTGTAATATAAATTAATTTTATTGTTGAAAAATAACGGTTTGTTTTACTATCACAATTATCTTTACATAATTAATTGTAATTTGTATTTATTAAATTATATGGAGACTGATGCAAGATTCGTCAGAGCGAAGATGAGAGAGTTTTCTTGAAAGAAAACTCAAATAAAATTGTGTGAGATTCTTTAGAATACTAACTGTTAAAAAGATTTTAATATGAGAATCTGAAAAAGTTTATACGTAAGGAAGACTTATATGATTGTTTGTGACCTCAGCCATAATAATTTGCTCGACTAGCTTAATGTTATTTATTAAGAGCAAATAAATATTTATGATTTATGTATTTATTTAAGTTATTTATTGATACTGTAATTAAACAAATTAAATAAAAATATAATTTGCGCTATATTATGCATCTCTTATCAGTTCTATTTTTTTGTCTGTGACGTTTGATTTATTTCTTCTAATTAATACTCTTTATGAAAGGAAAGTTTTTGTTGGAAGCATCATTCTAGTTTTTAATAAACGTTGCATATTTTCTACTTTGATAACTATTTTTCAATACTAATATAAATTATTTCTTGTGATATTTCTCGAGATATATCTTTAAAAATATATTTTTGAAATTTATCTCGAGATGAATATTTTTGTACAATAATTATATTCAGATTTATTATAAACATCTATCATTTTATTTCAGTTTTTAACAAAATTAAAAATATTTTCGACTGTCTTTTTCGTCGATTAATTTATACCGCAACGATTTATTGAGCGTATCGATTTTATCTTCTATGGAAAGTTGATGCATAATTAATGAACTTGATGCTCCTACGGCTTGGTCCAACCTGTATCCAATTCCAGTCTGCTGTTGGCATCGAAGCGTGAAGGTTGTGTACGATCGTCCAATAATGTTAATTAAATGGATTTGCATGTCCCTCCTCATCCTTGTAATTCAGGACGTCACTGCGGATATTGGCTATATCGGTGAGAAGAATGAAATAATTCTTGCAATTAATATAAGTATAACATTATTATATTATAATTAAAAATTATAGTATTACATATATAAAAAAATGACATTATTTAGAAAATTATGCACAAATTTATAAATTATATTGAAACAAAATGCGTATCTAACTAAGTACATTATTTTCTTTCAGATGTATCCAAATATGACATGGTGTACTACGATCCGAACACACGGTTGAGATTGAAGGGCGAACTGGAAGACAGTCGCGACCCTGTACCTAGGATTTCTTTCCATGGCGCAGGATGCAATTGCGAAAACTTTACGTGCGGCTGTTGTACTGGTGTCAATATAACCACTTTTAATTTTGATCGTCATGCCTGCACCAATTTCACTTATATCCCTGAAGATTTCGCCATCAAACTTAAATTTATAATAAACGAGAGAGTACTTCTTAGCACGGGTGCTATATCTGGTGAGTGTGATTGAGTAATTTTAATATGTATTCTTTAGAGTCTTGAAAAATTTATTTTGATAACGAAAATTATTAGGGTCATCTCAATTTTTTTATTTTATAAAGTTATAAAGGAATATTTGTTCATCTCATGAGATGAAAGGGAATAAAAATCTTACATAACATTTTTAAGAAAATTGTGATGAGTAAACTTTCAAATGATTACGTTTAAGTGTATTTGTTTTAAATAATAATTTTCAAATATATTACAATCTTTGTGTATTCGTATATAATAATTTTGTAATATGACAAATTAAATAATGTAATTTTCATATCTCTAGCTAAAAATCCGCCACCACTGTGCATGCCTTTCTATCTTCCCTTTATATCCTTCTGTGTGCGTTTCTTCGATGTCTACACATCCGGAAGAAATCTACACGCGTGTATTGACTTCGAGACGCTTGTGGTGAGATGGCCGGTCCTGGTCTTGCACTTCGATTGTGTAAAAATAGGCGCGGATGGGGTTTCTTGGGTAAAGCCCGAAGATGTCAGCGTTCTCCAAGCGGCAAAACCGGAAGTGGCAGAATCGAACGGGCCGATAGTGTATGACGAGGTGGACTTCGAGTCAGATCCTACCGAGCTACCAAGTAATCAGACTTTGAATTTGACGCTCGAAGAGGAAGATAACATCGGCCAATTAAAGCTGTGATATTTGTGTATATAGTTATATATAATTATATGAGTTTATTATTATAATACACTTTAAACAAAAATAAAGCTCTCTCATTTATATATTTTTTTTATAAACATATTTTTTAATATATATTTTATTCTAATAATTGTTTAACAATACACGTAGAACGTGCATTATATATATCCGCAGATAGCGGAAAATTATTTGTGATGTAAAAGTATGACTCATAAAAAGTATAACTTTGTTCTTTTGTGCAATTTGGATTTTTATTCGGACAACGAGTGTACTTATGAAAAGTGTTCTTTATTTATTTTTTTTTTTTTAGTAGTATATAAAAGTACGATAAACCGATTTAGCACATGTTTCGTTTAGGTTCGAAGTAGAGATGAAGGCAAGGATAGGGGCAGCTAATTGAACGGCAAGAAGAGAATTAGAATATAGAGAAAGACAGACGAAGCGATAGAAGAGAAAAAAAAATACAATTTTTTTTTGAGACCGATTTTTTCGAGATAAAGGGCAATCCGAGCAACTTACTATGGCCGGGAATACTTTAGACGAGGACGCTATTGCGAAGAAGACACGATGGCGCAATCTCGTGGCCTTTTGGATTCTGGGGCTGTGCAACAATTATGGCTACGCCGTGATGCTCAGCGCGGCCTACGATATTCTCGATATCAAATTCGATGATAAGGTGAGTTTAATCGATTCTCACACGTTTAAAGTAACGGATAAATTGAGGCTTAAATTGTAAAAATCTTAAATGTAAAAATCTTTATTTTACATCGCCGAATTAAACGATAAAAAAATTTACCGCACCTCGATTCTTATTTGCCAATTTCTTCACCTAGTATCAATTTATAAATATCCGCGCGTTAAAAATAACATGTAATGTGATCCATCTGGCAATTATTTGATGATCTTATACGAAAAAGATTGTCACGTAATTTATATATCATATGACTGGATCTCTTATCGAGTAAGAAAAAACGATTCAGCAGCATGAGAACACTATTGTGTAAGCAGCGTCCTTTTCATTAGTCTAATCGACGCGTTACATAAATCACAAAAGAGCACATAAGAATTAATCTAGTACGATTGAAATATTTACAAGATGACAGAATTTTTCGGCGTATATTGTATATTATTTATTGGGAAAAATATAATTATATAGAAACTATATGTAAAATAAAATAAAATAAAGAAAAAAATATATGTAAAAAAAACATGAGGTTTGTAAAACCTGCCGTGCTATTAAATTTTAATGGAAAAGATTTTCTTATTTTGAATAAGGATATCTGCAAGGGAATTGCTGAACTGTTTTTTCCTAGGATTCTACGCTAAAGACAAATGGCACAAATATGACGGGAATTCGTACGTGCAATACAGTTTCCACTGGTGCCATACTCTTGGCAGATATTCTACCATCGCTAGTGATTAAGATGATGGTGCCGTTCCTGCCGTTTCTAGTACAGTCAGTATTTATATATATATTTCTCTCTTTTGTTTTAGCCGCTACAAAATGAGCATTGCAAATAAATAATTTTGTTTTTATTAGTGATTAATTGGAATGGCAATAGAATTAAAGCATAAGTCACTTTTTTTCACAAAATGTTTCAATTATTTTTCTTTAGTTTCTACGAAGAATTTTCTCACATTGGCTCAATATTAAAAAAAAAAAAAATAGATTAAATTCTTATCTAAATACACTAACGCACACACATACACTCAGATATATTTGCAAAAATATCATTAGTTTGTATGATCTGCTTCATGCGATAACGGGGTAATTAGCGAAATTACAATTCGGTGAATAAAGATAAGATTCCGAGATTAATTTGTGTGACGATTAAGGGATGATCTTTTAATAATAATGTATGTATTCTTAGTAACTGCATTCCAAAATAAGATGCAAATAATATCAAAAGCGATAAAAAATTGTAACAATTGTACAAAAATTATGTGGCAAAATATTGTAGGAAGAATTAATTAATGCGTTTACATTTCTATGCATCATACTTGTGTAACATGACGGAGAGTTGACAACTGGAACCTCGTATAAGACCTTTTCGCGATGTGCTAGCGACAAAGCTCCAATCATCAGTCAAAATGCTAATCGATTAATCGATTCATTAATTACAGTGCTCGAATGGCTATCTGTGTGTTATTTTCCGCTGCAGGATTTCTCATGGTGTCGTTTAGCACTGCTGAATGGCTCGCCATTCTGGGCGTCGTTGTAACATCGCTCTCCTTCGGCTTGGGTGAGGCCACCCTGCTCAGTTACAGTAATCAGTTCTCCAAGTAAGTATGTAAATTACCCGCTATTGTTTATATTACAATATGCTAATACGAAAATTATAATGTGTGTAAATTCAATGTAATATTAATTTTATCTTTCATACCTTTATACGTTTTAATTTATTTTTATCGATTTCTTAGCTGTTTGATAAATTTAGAATGTACTAATTAAATCTCCTTGCAGAGAGGTGATCTCGACATGGTCATCGGGAACAGGCGGCGCCGGGGTGATCGGTGCCTTATCTTACGCCAGTCTCACTACGGTATTGTCTATCGAGAACACATTATTGGTCATGTTAATTGCGCCATTTTTGCAAGCGATCACGTTCTGGTGTATCCTCAAACATCCGGCGAATACAGAAATATCAATCACCAAAAACGGTACCAAAAGTCAAGAGCAGATTATCCAGGTCTCCGAGAAGAGCATCAGAGACAAGATCAATTTGATACCTGGCTTGCTGAAATACATGATACCGCTCGGATTGGTTTACCTTTTCGGATATTTCATCAATCAAGGCCTGGTATACAATATTTTGCCACATCCTCGCTAGCTTCAACAATTAAAAACACGTATTTGTTTATTTCAATTAAATCTACTTGTATATTTATATTACAAACATCTCTTCTTCTTCCTGTTAGTATTATGTATCGTATAAATTATTGTTAAAATAATACAAGATAAATAAATTCCTTTCTTTTTTATTTTAAAAAAGGAAAGATATATGCAGAGAAATTACATAATATTGCTCATCGGACCGTTTTATAAATTATTATGCGATAATTAATTTTAATTAAGGGGAGAAGGGTTGGTTGAGATACAGAACAGATTGTTAAATTCAATTTCTTTTGAACGATCACTAGTAGTATTGTTTTAAGATTTATAGTATTGTTGTATGTGAACATAATATTAATAAATACGTTTACAGTACGAGTTCATCGAATTCAATGACATTTGGTTGAAACCATACGAGCAATACAGATGGCTCCAAGCAGATTGTCAGATAGGTCTATTTATCTCGAAATCGTCGGTGAACATAGTTACGATTGACAAAATTTGGATTATGTCCGTGTTGCAGGTAATTATATACTCAAGAGATTAAACAAAAATACGAATTAATATATTGAGTTGTCGTGAGAAATACATTTCAAAACTGATTTTTCTTTTCAGTTCATTAACGTCATAATTCTCCTCTTTGAGGCTATTTTCTATTATATACCAAATATATGGATCGTTTTCGCCCTTGTATTGTGGGAGGGTCTAATTGGCGGCGCGACGTATGTGAATACTTTTAATACACTTCATATAAATAACTTTATATTTATTGCAATTAATATATTATTATTATTATTATTTATTATAATAAAATATAATAAATGTTCAAATATATATGTATTTAATTTCATTATAAAATAATGCAATAACATTGAATTTGCCTTGATATCTTGTGGGATACTCATTGAATGGATATTGATATCATTTATCTTCATATCGTTAAAATATACTCTCGTTTTAATTGTAGACAATGCCTTCAAGAATTTTGCATAATAGAAATGAATAAAAATCAATTAATTTAATTCTAAATTAATAATTGTGTTTATTTGTGATTTTAGATAATTTTCTACATCTTTTATCCTTGTTATATTTAATCGAAGATATTTGTGACACTTGACAATATTTTCTAAGAATCTCTATTGCTTCGTTATAACGAGTTCTAGCTGATGACACAAAATGCGAATGAACGACTCGCGACCGAGCCTAAATTTCACCGTAAAACGGGGTCAGCAAACAAGCGTTCACTAACCGGCCAGTCAAGTTTCGATCGTCCGGGAAGGAGCACATCTCGAGGAGATGTCGTCTTACCTCGATTAAACGTCGGGCAAGATCAAGGACACAGGATGAAGCAGACCGCTCGCTGGCTGCTATTGATCGTCGTCCTCGCGACGCGATCGGCTTCGGTGCCGAGGATCGACAGGAACCTTACGACAGAGGGAAAAATCGTTAGCAGCGGGATCGAGGAATTTTCGGTATCGCGGGAAGACTTGAAGCAGCTGAAGACGTTGCTGAGACAGGCCTCGAATTCGTCACAATCTGGAAATGAAACGGTTACCGCTACAAGACAAGGACCATGTCAGTGTCTCGGTGGCGTTTGCGGATGTTGCTCGCGGATCTTGTACGACAGGTGGAAACAGAAGGCCTGTGTGAACATCACGTACGATCCCGATGAGTTTAGCTTCACCGCACACATCTTGATGAATGATAGAATCCTTTATACGAGGACTGTCTCTGGTAAGTAGTGTGTACAGAGATAAGTCCACACGTTTGATTGACCAACGAAATTTGTAGATGAAAGAAAAAGAGAGGAATTTCTAGATCGGAGATTTTTATACAGATAATATTCTTTTTCTAATTCGTTCTTTGTTATATATTTTCAGGAAAGAATCCTAGACCGATGTGCGTTCCTTTTCCAAGGATACCGTTCATAAGAGCATGCGTCAGATTTTATAATATATATTTCCAAGGCAGAAATCTTCATCTGTGTGTCAATATGGAGGGAAAATTCGAGGATACGACAGTGTTTAAGGTCAGGTGAATACTTTCTACCGAATATCGACTGAGGTAATGAAACTATTGTTAAAAAAAAATCAATTTTAGAATTATATTAAATAATGCAAATCCAAAAATATAAAAGTTAAGTTTGTTGAATATTTCTAGCGAGAATTTACGTTTTAAAAGAATGAAAAATATTCTGTCACGTTCTCTATCTGGCGATTTATTTTCTACGATTGTGCAAAATTAATTTGATCGCAGATTCCGAAAGCTGATCTTGAGGTCTCCATGGGGATCGCGTCGATGGCGGACTCGATCGGAATCGCGTTGGCCGGTTGGTTGTCCATGCCGGTCCACAATGTCATATGCGAGCTATCGCAACCGAAGAGATTAGGTAGCTAAAGGTATCGCGGATATGCAGTATATTAAGAAATCGACATCAAAGAAACAATGAGAGTTGCATATCTATAAATCGCCAAATGCAAACTTTCATTGAACAATTCATAATTATACAGCGCTTATATAAAATTATAATACTCTTTATTACAACAAATTCTCTGCAATACACAAGTCACCGTTTCCTTTCGAACTTCCATTTATAAATAGGAGCAGCATCCTTCGAACCAGGTTTCACTAATTTTGGCTTTTTGATCTTTTTATCCTTTAACGCCCTGCGCATTTCCAACTTCTGCTCCACGACTGTCAACTCGCGTTCTCTATGAACCCTCTTTTCGAGTTCTTTGTAAGCCATGTGCTTTTTCTGCCCGATCTTAGTAATAGTTTTGTCATCCAATTCCGGCAACTTCATGTCTTTAATCGTGCTTAGCTTTGGTCGATTGGTACGTCTGGACAGAAGTGCTGGATGTGTATCCAGTTTCTTGGCAAGATCAAAATTCTTCATCTCTGTGCTGTCTTCTATGAAGAAAATGTGTTGATTCTGCGTTTCATTGGCAATGTCAATCATATGCAACTGGCTCTGCAGCTTGTCTATCTTCTTCGATTCAATATTTCTCTTATACGCTACATATCTGAGATCCTGTGTCTCCATCAACTTTATCTGTTCAGGTGTGTGCTTATCTTTCTTGTCTTTCTCTCTATGAGCGCCATTCACTAATTGAGAGTTAATCATATGAAAGTGAAATTCATCTGGATTTTTGTTCAGCGCACGTTTCCGGAGAAGCTTGATCGTCGCCTGCTTTTCCTGGAAATCCCTAGCTCTCAAGATGTAGTCTTTCTTTTTCTCTAGCAGCCCGAGATGCTTACGAACTTCGGGCTGGTGACGTTCCCGATGGGTTTTCTGGCTCGTCTTCGCGGCTTTTTTCCACGACGACATTTTAACGTTGCTCGTGTAATCTGGAAAAGTGTTTGGATTATATATACATATAACACATCTTTAAAATTCATAATATATACACTTTACGACAAAACTATAAGACATAATAAGACACTGTGAAATATATTGCTGAGAAGAATTTTATTTTTATCTTTAATGTTATTGTTTATTTTAAATCATTAAATTTAAAAAAATATCGAATACTGTATTTTTAAGAACTTTGTGTGCATATGTTGTGTCAGTTGCGACAAGCCTATAAGCAATTTTAAACAGTTACAGTCATTATCATCATTTCTCCATACTAATAAACTTTTAAGTTAAGAATTCAATAATTTTATAATATTCCTTAAGATCAAAAGTGCTATGTAGTTTTGTCATAAGAGTATATGTCCATTCAAATAATAAAAATAAATAAATATAAATAAATTTGATAGTGGATAGAGTATCGTTAAAGAGTTCTACTTTTATTGTAATAATTATAGCTTACTTTTTTATATTCACTGAAGAAAAATCACTACTGTTTTATATCGATGTTAATAACAGATAATCATTACATAACCTAAAATTTAACAGCTGACCGAGCTATACTATTACTACATGTGCTGAATGGTGATCCCAGATAGTAATTCCAGATTCCAGTCCTAGTCGCGCTAAAGGCACATATATATTATCATACGATGGTAATAGTTTTTAGTCTCATGTTATCTACGTTATCTACGTAATAGATGATCAGCTGATTATTATTGAATGGGTGTATTTCAGTCTCTAGATAATGTGCGAATATGATTTCTTTTTTCAACGAAAAGGCGTCGAGGCATCAATAATTTCCAAATTATAAACGATTAAAAAAGAAAGTCTTTCCACAAATTAAACTTTGTGGAATTAAAAGATTAAACTATACGTTCTTCGGTTAATTTCAGATTAAGTTTATTTCAATAAAAAAATTAAAAAAAATTTTGGTTACGAGATATATGAATGTAAAAAGTAAAAATTTGCAAATGATGACCTCCCTCGATATTTTCATTGAAGAAATAGTCTCCAAAAATTGGCCAGAAAATCTTTCATTAAAAGGACATTCGGTAGTTTTGAGATATCTTGTATATTTTGATTGATTCACGTTTTCATTACCTTTATTAATGATTTTAAATAATATAAATCTGAAAAGATATATATGAAACCTGATGTTATAATGACATAATTTACGTTTACTTTACATATGTGAAAAAAATATTACAAACAAGAACAATACTTCAAAATGTCTTTTTTTTTTTAAATAATCATAATCACAAGATATATATTCCAAGAATTAAAGTATAATCTATTTTTAATGTAATTCGCGACACAAACACACCATCTTTTATTTAATATAATGTATAATATCAGCACATATTTGTAACACGTCACTTCGATTTTTAAATGGAAATTTCCTTTCGAATATTCTATAGTAAATTATTATAACAAAAAATAAATTAGTAAACTAAATGTCTCGATTATTAAAACAATTTTTTTAGACGCGCCACGTGTATAGTTTCACAAAATACATTCTCTCATTAAAATATTTCTCTTAATTCATCTACTATACTCGCAGGATAATAATATTTTATTCTTATATTATAAAAAATATTTTAATCTTTTATTATAAAAAAAAGAGATGATCACTCGGTTTGCGTAGACTGATGGGCTCGCGCAGGAAGCGGGAGGACCGTATCGCCTACTGTCAGGGATCCTTGACTGAAAACTTGCACTCCTCTGGACGACGTTGTCGCGTATCTGTTTCGCATTCTGTTGATCGGCTGGCGTGCTTTAATCATCTTGTACCATCCCTTCTGACGTTTCGCCAGGGGACTTCGGACGTCCACGGCGATCGAATCTACTCGCGAGGAGGATACTTCGGTGATATCGCGGGCTCGTTTGTTTGGACGAAGTCGGATGTTGTCGACGCTGCTGACGGCCGATTCCAGGGATGTCAATGTCGATTCCTCGATGATTTTCCGTTGTTGAATTACTTCGGTTGTCGTGACGTTGCTTGCTGGAATGCCCAAGCCTGAAATTAATATTCGGACAGATATTTAAAAAAAAAATTCTTTCAAATATATGTCAATTTATAAAGTAGTTAGAATTTTTACTGACCGGAGAAACTTTTCAGGGCGTATTTCATAGCTTGCGCGACGGCAGCGAAGAATCCGTTGTTATTTCTATTATCTTTAACGTCTTTCTGCATGGATAATGAAGAACACGGCACGATTTGTCGACAGTCCGTCGTCGAATCCTTTGTGGAATAGCTCTCGACATTCGAGATGCTCATTTCCATCCTCGTAACAGACTTGATGGGCAAATTAACAGCATCGGTAGACTCAACCGAAGACGGCTGATCCGTCGATGCAAGCTGTTCCTGTAGCTTCTTCAGACCTGAATCAATTAGAGGTATCAAATCATTGCTCAATCCTCTCGAATTGTTTTCCATCAACACTGTTATAAGTACCCTGCTGGAGTCTTGCCGACACGGAGCCGACGAGTCTTTGCTTATTTCAGGATTTCGATTCTCCTTTTCCGTGTCCTTCGTGTCGTTTTGCACGGTTTGCGAATCAATTAGAGAATTTTGCAAAAGTTTTACACAGGAGCTTTTTTTATTCTCCATCTGGCTGTCTTTTGTATTCTCTGTGTCTTGCATCTTCATCGTGTCTTTTATATCATTCGTGTCTTTTATATTATTCGTGTCTTCTGGATTTTTCACGTTTGATGTACTCGAGACTTCGCGAGCGTCG